ACGGAGGGAGTATCATATAATGTGTACAATCATTCAAATTTCGAGAAAAAATTAATTAGGTCCAACCAAGTGGCAATTCTTTCCCAATCGTATTAAAGATCGTATGGTTGTATATTGTGAGATATTATTTCAACTAGTTGAGGTAGCTGTGGTAGCCTTTAATAACTCAAGACTTTAATAAATGTACCTGTAAATGTACCATTTAAAGGAAATAGACCAGAAAATACCGCCATTATTATATTTTTTAAAATAACATAAAATTAGATAAAAATATATAAGATGATGCATTAATGTTCTATAAATCCAGATCAACAATTGTTTGAGAATCGATTTTGTACGCATAATAGTATATATAAATAGCAATACTTTCTAAGTCAATAAATAGAAAAACATATCATATGAATAACAATCAAATACACTTAACAGGAATAACAAGAATGAAATGATGTGGCAATTTTTATAGTTGGTTATGTTGCACGGCCATTTATACATTTGCATCCATATTTAGTTAAGGGAATTTTTGAAAAATGTTATTTTTGTTTAATTTACCAATTTAGCTATATGAGTTATTACATTTTCGTTTATTTTATATTACTTTTTGACGAAAAGGTAAACATCTTTACTTTTCCTTTTTTTTTTTTTTAACCTTTTCTTGTTGGTAATTTGATAGTTGACTCATTTATATCTTGGGCTATCAATGTAGCATACAAAATTCAAATGTGGAGGAGTTTCATTGGGCCTAAGTTGGGCCCATGTACTTGGAGACGTATTCTCAGCCACTGAATTTATTAACTTTTTGGGAAAAGTAGTTGTTGGGTACCCACCCGTCCGACCCAATAACTTGGCCCATTCATTGACCAAAGCAAACTCAACCCAAACCCTGCAAAAGATTGTGGAGGATCCACTTTCAATAAAACGGGTCGCCCCAGTTGAAGATCATTGGATTGCCAACAATAGTTGCAAAATGGAGTCATTTTCAATCCATGTTACTGCCTCCAAATTGGACCAACTACAATCAAGAACAGAAATTCAAGGCGCATTTGAATCACTATGTGCTATTATTTGGCAGTCCATTTCAAGAATTAGAGATGGGCCTGAGCCCAAAATTGTAACAATTTGTAAAAAGGGTGACGAAAAGAAAGAAGGCCTTGTTGGGAACAATCAAGTCATTAGTGTGGTAAAGGTTGATCACTCAATTAGAGAAGCTAATCCTAGTGACTTAGCAAGGTTAATTAAAAATGAGACTATCGATGAGCGATTAAAGATCGATGAAGCCATCGAGAAAGATCATGGAGTATCGGACGTTGTTGTTTACGGAGCTAATTTGACTTTTGTGAACATGGAAGGTGCTGATCTTTATGGATTCAACTGGAAGGGACACAAACCGATGAAAGTAAGTTACTTAATCGATGGAGTTGGCGATGCAGGGACCGTCGTGGTGCTTCCGGCCGGGCCAAATGATTCTAGCAAGGATGCTGATGAAGGAAGGATTGTGATCATGACTTTGCCTGAGGATGAGATAATGAAGTTGAAATTTGAGCTAAGCAAGGAATGGTCTATTGCTTGAGGTTAAATGTATTTGTTTCATTCTTGTTCAATAGTTTAATTTGGTATGAGGTCCAAAGACACTATGTTTAATAACTACTCTATGTAATGCTATTTAGAGATTAACCGGTATTTATTTTATCCAGAAATTTTAAATTAAAAATCGTAACTTCAGGACAATTCAAGATATCTTATTTTAAAAAACTGAAATTCAGGACAAACTGGCTAATTTTTAAATAGCAGCCTCCAGAGTGAGTACCTGATGTCATTTCTACTCTATGTATTGTGTTGGAAATGTTATTACCTATGTGTCTTTCTTCTGAAAAGCATTGGCCCAGAATTGTAAACATAGGAGAATATAAATTAGTGGTTGTTGGTTTGCAACATTACTTAAGTTGTGCTTTACCCCCCCCCCCCCCCCTCCCTTTTTTTTTTTATCAAATGAAAGTAAACAATATACATATATTAGAGCAAACAAAAATAACCACTCCCAACAAAACCAAAAATAGAAAATAATCCTAATCTTTATTTTTTACTAATTTTAAAGAATACAGAGTATATAATCGGCACATAATCAATGTGTACGATGATTATACACTTGTTATATAAAATGTATAAAGCTCTGCGTCGAGAGAAAAATAATATATACATGTTCAATTTCAGGTAGACATAACATATAAGAAAAATATGATCAAGATATATGGATTTAAAGTATCAATAACTGTAACTGAATTTTATTAATGATAATCGCATCTTTTTATTTTATCTAGCATCATGGAACTTACTAGTACAAATTGATAAAAACCATAATGCTTTCTCGAATTAACAATATTTCTTTTTTTTAAATTAATCAATGGTGACAATTTGCAAGACATTCTTCATAAGAAGGATAGCATCCCGAAGCCGAGACACAACACCATTTGGCTGGTGCACCAGGAACTTGGATGCATGGATCGATTAAAACTTTTGCTTTAACTCTTGTACTTTCGTCACCTGCATTTTGTGAAATAAATTTTTTTATACGGTCATATCAACTAAAATATAACAAAAGGTAACCGTACAAAAAACTACTTCATATTGTTTGCATTTTCCTTTGTTAATAATAATAATAATAATAATAATAATAATAATAATAATAATAATAATTAAAAAAACTAAGTTTAAAAGGAATTAATAAGGACATACAATGATGAAGAGCCAACATGGAAAACAAAACCATGCAAAGTAGCAACACTGATTGATTGAAGGGAGAATTTTGTAGTGGCCATGGAATTTAAGATATGATTTAGTGCTAAAATATCAAAATATAGTGAGAAATAATTATGGAATTCTCCAAATATATAGACCTATGAAAGTAATTGATTTGGTAATTAACACAGACCAATGATTAATTTACCAAGTTATTTCCTAATTTCTTATAATCTAGCTAGAAATACAATATTGAAAATCTTAACTACTTACCTTTTTCATGCTTTAATTGAACACCCCACGCTATGGTAATTAGAATATGAGAAATTTTCATAAAGCACTATCTTTTAGTGGTAATTAGCTATTTATAGATACCATTAGCTATATTACGGATTGTAGATACGTTTTCTGCTGTTATAAGATGTATTAGATGTATTTAAGCTACCGTATTCATGAATATAGTAGCAAAAATAGGCATGAATCAGGAAAGTCCAACTAATCAGTTGTTGTATTCGACTGTATTCATGGCGTGAAACATGGGATTACAGCTGGACAGATTATTATATTCGACTGTATTCACGGCGTCAAATAGGGGATTACACTGTTTTTAAACGAAAAGTGAATCAATTAACATAATAGACTCCTAATATAACTCAACAAACTCAATTATAACACACAAATTTTGTATTTCCAGTTATAAAAAAGATTTTCAACTGAAAAATACCCCAAAAATATAGTAATCTTCAAAGAAATTATATAATACATTTGAATACATAAATATACTAATTAAAAATATATATGAATACATTAATGGAATATAGCGAGACTGTGAATACAATAAAATATATGGAATACAACTGAGATACACTGAAATACAATGAAAAAAAGACAATGAGTACAACGAAATACATAAAATACAGCGAGATACATTGAAATACACTTAAAAAAAGGTAACAGAATCTTCAAGTTGCCCAGCCCCAAACTCTGTCATCTTTGTTCAAGAACAACCCTAATGTCGTCTCGTCGAGAGGGCCGCGATTCTGATTCGAAAATCTCAAAAGCCGATGCAGAATTACAGAGGTCAGTGGATAGAAGACGACTCCTTACCCAATCAAAAGGCAGACATAGGCTAGCGAAAGGTAATGAATCTAAGGAAGAGAATAACCACCATAGTGAAGCATCGCCGAATTCTGTAGAATCAACTAGACTTGAATACCTGGAAAACATCCAATATTTGGTCGATTGCCTACTCTATCAAAACCAATCAATGTGTATAGATTACTTAGAGACCAGAACTGTAGAATAATACCACAAAGAAAGAGACGTGGAAAAATAAAATATAGAATGAGAGAGAAAAATAATACAAAGAGTATTTTATGGCTTAAGGGTAGGAGGTAACTATAAATAGATATTTGGCTATAAAAATCAAAAGGTAGCTATGGAATATAATTTTTTAAAAGGGTATTTATTTAAAATAAATAAGGTATCAACCTTTGCTATAGGAGGTAAAAATTTCTTAGAATATTAATACAAAAAAAGATATTATCTTACTTTCTATAAAGATTTAAACGCAAAATTGCAAACGTTTGACACGAAATTGATATGCCCCTAATAGGGGTGTACAAACCGAACTGGAAAAACGCACCAAATCGAAAAGTCAAACCAAACTGATTAAAAAACCCGATTAGGTTTGGTTTCATTTGGTTTGGTATTTAGTAAAAAAAATTCGAAACACACACACACACACACACACAAAATTTCGAAACACACACACACACATACAAAATTTTGAAACACACACAC